CCCCCCCCCCCCTTTTTTTCTTTTCCCTCCTACTCTTTTTTACTATTGTGGTACTGATGTAACTTCCAGTTGTTGATTCATCTATATTTTTATTTTTATACTCTTTCTAACATATCTGTTAGTTTTCTAGTCTAATTTTATTTTTTACTTTGTTATTGTTTTGGCTTTTTTTTCACACTCCACGCAGCTTCTGGGATCTTGGTTCATGAGCCAGGGTCAGGCCCAAGCTCCTGTGGTGGGAGCTCCAAGTCCGAACCACTGGACTAACAGAGAACCTCAGGCCACAGTAGAAATGCTACTGTGGCGTAGCAATACTCATATCAGATAAAATAGACTTCAAAATAAAGACTGTTACAAGAGATAAGGAGGGACACTACATAATGATCAACCCAAGAAGAAGATATAACAATTATAAGTGCTTATGCACCCAACATAGGAGCACCTCAATACATAAGGCAAATGCTAACAGCCATGAAAGGAGAAATCGACAGTAACACATTAATAATAGGGGATTTTAACATCCCACTTACACCAATGGAAAGATCATTCAAACAGAAGATAAATAAGGAAACACAAACTTTAAATGACACAACAGACCAGATAGATCTAATTGATATTTATAGAACATTCCAACCAAAAGTGCAGATAGCCATGGCAATCAGAGAAGAAAAAGAAATAAAAGGAATACAAATTGGAAAAGAAGTAAAACTGTCACTGTAAAACTGTCACATGATACTATACATAGAAAATCCTAAAGATGCCACCAGAAAACTACTAGAACTAGTCAATGAATTTGGTAAAGTAGCAGGATACAAAATTAATGCACAGAAATCTCTGGCATTCCTATACACTAACAATGAAAAATCAGAAACAGAAATTAAGGAAACACTCCCATTTACCACTGCATCAAAAAGAATAAAATACCTAGGAGTAAACCTGCCTAAGGAGGTGAAAGACTTGTACTCAGAAAACTATAAAACACTGCTAAAAGAAATCAAAGATGACATAAACAGATGGAGAGATATACCATGTTCTTGGATTGGAAGAATCAATATTGTGAAAATGACTATACTACCCAAAGCAATCTACAGATTCATTGCAATCCCTATCAAGCTACCAATGGCATTCTTCACAGAATTAGAACAAAAAATTTTACAATTTGTACGGAAACACAAATGACCCCAAATAGCCAAAGCAGTCTTGAGAAAGAAAAACGGAGTTGGAGGAATCAGTCTCCCTGACTTCAAACTATACCATAAAGCTTCAGTAATCAAAACAGTATGGTACCGGCACAAAAACAGAAATACAGATCAATGGTACAGGATAGAATGCCCAGGGACAAACCCACGCACATATGGTCACCTTATCTTTGATAAAGGAGGCAAGAGTATACAATGGAGAAAAGAGAGCCTCTTCAAAAAGTGGTGCTGGGAAAACTGGACAGCTACATGTAAAAGAATGAAATTAGAACACTACCTAACACCATACACAAAAATAAACTCCAAATGGATTAAAAACTTAAATGTAAGACCAGACACTATAAAACTCTAAACATAGGAAAACATAGGAAGAACACTCTTTGACATAAACCACAGCAAGATCATTCTTGACCCACCTCCTAGAGTAACAGAAATAAAAACAAAAATAAACAAATAGGACTGAATTAAACTTAAAAGCTTTTGCACAGCAAAGGAAACCCTAAACAAGACAAAAAGACGGCCCTCAGAATAGAAGAAAATATTTGCCAATGAAACAACAGACAAAGGATTAATCTCCAAAATATACAAACAGCTCATGGAGCTCAATATCAAAAAAACAAACAATCCAGTTTAAAAATGGGTAGAAGACCTAAACAGACATTTCACCAAGGAAGACATACAGATGGCCAAGAGGCACATGAAAAGATGCTCAACATCACTAATTATTAGAGAAATGCAAATCAAAACTGCAATGAGATATCACCTCACGCCGGTCAGAATGGCCATCATCAAAAAATTTAGAAACAATAAATGCTGGAAAGGGTGTAGTGAAAGGGAACCCTCCTGCACTGTTGGTGGGAATGTAAATTGATACAGCCACTATGGAGAACAGTATGGAGGTTCCTTAAAAAACTGAAAATAGAACTACCAAATGACCCAGCAATCTCACTACTGGGCATATACCCTGAGAAAACCATAATTCAAAAAGAGTCATGGGGGTCTTCCCTGGTGGCGCAGTGGTTGAGAGTCCGCCTGCCGATGCAGGGGACATGGGTTCGTGCCCCGGTCCGGGAAGATCCCACATGCCATGTAGCGGCTGGACCCAGAGCCATGGCCACTGAGCCTGTGCGTCTGGAGCCTGTGCTCTGCAACGGGTGAGGCCACAACAGTGAGAGACCCGCGTACCGCAAAAAAAAAAAGACAAAAAACAAACAAACAACAAACAAAAAGAGTCATGTACCACAATGTTCATTGCAGCACCATTTACAATAGCCAGGGCATGGAACCAACCTAAATGGCCACTGACAGATGAATGGATAAAGAAGATGTGGCACATATATGCAATGGAATATTACTCAGCCATAAAAAGAAACAAAATTGAGTTATTTGTAGTGAGGTGGATGGACCTAGAGTCTGTCATACAGAGTGAAGTAAGTCAGAAAAAGAAAAACAAATACCATATGCTAACGCATATATACGGAATCTAAAAAGAAAAAAGAAAAAAAAATGGTACTGATGAACCTAGCTGCAGGGCAGGAATAAAGAGGTAGACATAGAGAATGGACTTGAGGACATGGGGTGGGAGGGCGAAGCTGGGGCAAAGTGAGAGTAGCATCAACATATATACACTACCAAATGCCAAATGTAAAATAGTTGGCTGGTGGGAAGCAGCCGCATAGCACAGGGAGATCTGCTCGGTGCTTTGTGATGACCTAGAGGGGTGGAATAGGGAGGATGGGAGTGAGGCTCAAGAGAGAGGGTATATCGGGACATGTGTATGCATATGGCTGATTTGCTTTGCTGTGCAACAGAAACTAACACAGTACTGTGAAGCAATTATACTCCAATGGAGATCTATTAAAAAAAAAGAGAGACTATACTATTCACTGTCTTAATAAGATGAGCTTATAAGTTAAGTATAGAATACACCAAAGATAAGTGGTGACCTTTCAGGCAAGGGAACTGGCCCAGAGCATTCTCTCCGTGTTCTGCCAAGAGGTTCCAGTTTGTAATTTTTCTGCTTGTTGTTATTTTAATGGAATAGGAGAGTTCATGGAAAACTATGAGACCCAAGTCCCAAACAAGGATGTAACTTAAACACAGACTAACCAAAGAGAACATAAATTTGTTGAATTTTTTTACCTAACTGAGCAGCTCACCCTCACAAAAATGTCTCTGCACTATAGACTGGAATTTGGGTTACTGAGTACTTTCATGGACCACAAGAAAATGATGTCCTAACTCTTAAAAACTAAAAGCCCACTCCCAACTGCCCAGAGTTCAAGTTTCTGTAGCCCTGATGCCCAAGGGTAGAAAGCTCATTTCCTTCTGGCAACCCCAGGACTGTGATAGTCATCAGGAGCCCACAGCCCAGTTTGTACCACCTTCAAGTACAACCACAGGAGGCTTGAGAAAGCATACTTGGAGCCCAAACAATGTCACAGAAAAGATTCAGCACTTCCCACAGAGGCAAGCCAACTAATACTGCACAGACCCTGGGCTGGTTGTTTTGCTTTGTTTGGTTTTTCTGTACCAATCTTTAATATTGTGGATGTTTCTACAGAAAAGTGTGATCACTTTTACCTTCTTAATTAATTCCCCATTGCTTAGGGTGACAGCAACCACACTGCGGCATCAAATAATTTAGGTACCAAAGAAGACACACTTCTTTTTTTCATTTTGTTTTGATTGAGACTTTGCCTTATACAGGGTACAACTCTAAAAACTTATATAAAAATAAGATTAAAAAATCAATCTAAAAGCTCTTATCAATATGGGAAAGAGAGGAGGTGACAGGAAAAGAGAAGAAAAGAAAGAGGGAGGAAGGAAGGGAGGGTGGGAAAGAGGGAGGGAGGAGAAAGAAAGAAAGAAAAGAAAGAAAGAAAAAGAAAGAAAAAGAAAGAAAGAAAGAAAGAAAGAAAGAAGGAAGGAAGGAAGGAAGGAAGGAAGGAAGGAAGGAAAGAAAGAAAGAAAGAAAGAAAGAAAGAAAGAAAGAAAGAAAGAAAGAAAGAAAGAAAGAAAGAGGAAGGAAGGAAAAGGAAGAGAGAAAGAGAGAAAAAGAGAGACAGAGAGAAAGAAAGAAAATATCCTAGAATAGCATTTGGCACATAGTTGGTGCTTAAGAAATATTTGTTAAATGAATGAATGAATTAGTTGGGAGTCACATAAAGAGAGAATGATTTGAAAAAGCAGATATTCATTTGAGAAGCACCTCCTGTCACTTTAGCTCTCTTCAACATGTTTTCTGTGCCATTCCTTAAGAAATAATACATAGTGGCATTACAAGTTATAC